AAGTGATTTAATTACTGTGGACTACCAAAAAAGTGCGTGGGAGCTTCACAGCTGGGCGAGCTCTCAGGGCAAGCTCCATTGCTATGATTCAGCTGAAAGGCAGAAGTCCATAACAGATATAGGAAAATACCTGTCACCATTCTAGAAAACAGAGGTAGATGCTGGAGGTCAGCTGAAGAGCAGGAGCTCCTTCTACACAGGGGCTCACTGGGAGAAGAGATAGAAACAAACTCAATTTCATGAAGCAGATGCTGTGGAGCATCCCACATACCATATAGCTAGGGTTTATCTCAATCTTTCCCCCACTCAGTTCAAGCAAAGGTTGAATTAAGTAGCAGCTTGCTTCTGGTCCAAGTAATGATTAGAATATTAGATATACAGCACTGTAAATGATCACTCTAGACTGCTTTACAATAGCTCAATTTTAAAAGTTGAACATGTGTTTTGTTTATGCTCAAAGGGCTCAGGGATGCCAAACCAAAAAGTGATAGGGTTTTCTGCTATAAGAATCGAAGTAATGGCTCCTGTAGTCATGGTAAACAGGGAAAGACTTGGAGACAAATGGGTGTGATGGTCTCTCAAGGGTTTTTCTAAAATATAAGACTCCTGTTTGACTCACCAACTGTTTTTAGTTCTCTTTTGACAATGAAACACACCCTATTCCTTTTCACTGAAGTATCAGCTTGTTTTCGTTGCTTGTGACTTGCCTACTAGCAAGTAAGAAAACAAACCCCATATACTACACTAGAGCTTGGGCTGGGATGTAGGGAAGAATTAGGCAAAGCATCCAGCAGTCCCACAGGTTTTAAAGAAAGCTGCACTAATGCCAAACTCTCTGCTGCCAATAAGCCCCTACTGTTAGAAATACTGGTAAGAGTTTGAAATATTATGGATGTACTAGGTTGGGTGCATAATGAAAAGCTGTGGGCTTACTTTCAAACTGCAAAACTCTTCTTTCAGTGTTTTTGTGAATCTTTCTTAAAGAAATTTCATCTGCACTAAGACTGAGAATCCCTACCCAAACCTATTTTGGCAGATACCAAGTAGAAAGCCACCGTGTCTGGAAACATTACTTAACTCTTCACCACATCAACTCTATTGCAGTCTTCTGAATCTCTGTCTTCCAGAATAAAACATTACTGCAGGCAGCTGCCTCATTTTCTCCTGCTAGAGAACCTCAGGCAGTAAGAAGGGATTTCACTCCTGCTCCACAGAGGTACACTTACTAAAAGTTCTTATCCTCAGGAAGTGGTGGTGGCTCTGCAGGCACAGCAGGAGGGTGATGGGCCAAACCTAATGGACACAGCAGGTCAGGCTTGCTTTCTTCTATTCTCTAGCTTTCTTTGGTTCTTGGGGTGAACCCAGTAGGATTTCAGGTGCATGTTTTTTTAACTAACAGGAAGGGCAATGTCAAATGCACTGCAGCTAAACTTATTCTTTGGACTGGTTTACTTGACTGCATTTCTGTTCCATTATATACTTGGCCTACCTGTCCTAGAAGAAATTCAACTATACCTGTTCTTTAGGAGCAGACGCTGATCTGATGAGGATTGAGTTGTCTTGGACTGCATTATGCTCCTAGATTGGGAGTGTGCTCTTTTTGTCCCTTAAGCTTACACATCCCCAGCTGTTGGCAGGTGCTAAAAACTCAAAGGAATCATAAACTGCAGTGTGGTGTAGCAGCCAATAGTACATAGATTACCAGTACCGTGGCAGTGGAAATTAGTCTCCCCCTCCTTCATCCAGGTTTCTTATATGACTCACTTTAATGTGAGATTAAACTTGCCTTGTTCTGATAGATTCATAGCAGCTCATCTTCAGCTTTTACAAAACAGATAGGGCAAATCTTCTAAAGGTCAAGAGGCATTTCTGGCAGCATATAGTCACTCCCTCATCTGCTAATGGGTCTATCTTTGACAATACTTTATGCGTTGCAGGCAATTAATACTCTTCCCATTAGCCTCAGCTCAGCACTGGCCTCAGTTTCCAGAGTATGTCATGGAGAGTGAGCTGAGGTGTCAAGTTGTTCAAGATATTTTAGGTGAAAATTATGGCATCTTGATTCTGAAAAGTAAAGAGCATGTTACATCCATCAGTTAACGTGAGCTAGGAAAGGTATCAGCAGGAGTTTTCTTTACTCATGAACCAAAACCCTTTGATGAAAATTACGATGTATTTTACATCAGCCTGAAACAGGCACAACTTGCCTTGAAACAAGCACAGCCTGCCCTAAAAGCAAAGGCATACAGCCTCTTCTCTAACCAGAGCATAAACCCAAGGCTGTTATTTCTGTCACTGTTGCTCCATGACCTCACAACTTCGTGTTTCATTTAGGCAGCAAAAATCTCTTCAAAGGGAGAATTAGAGAGCAGCCATTCTCCATCCCCTGGAGCCTTGCCTCCCAGCCTGCTCCTCTTTTAGAGAGTTTGAACCCTTTCCTATCACCTAACACTGAGATGGACTGCAGTGTCAACTCTTTATTTCTAATTAATAACCTACCTGCCTTTCATTAACAATCTAATTAGCAGAGAAGACTCTGCTCCTCACCACTGAAGATACCTGCAAGCTCCTCCTGAGGCTCAGCATCCCTAACTTGCAGCTGAGAACTGGAAGGCCTCAGGTCACACCACACACTACTTACCACCCCAGGGGTTGTTAATTACTCCTGCATGGAATAAATAAGAGGTGAAGAGGGACAGGTTGCGGTATGAGGATATACTGTGTGGGACTGGAGGAAAGAGGTTTGGGACTGAGGTATTTTTATAAACAATGTTCTTTTAATCATTATTAAAGGGTCATTGTGTTCTTGGAGGTAAAGGGTTGCAGTGCGTTGCTCTCTTTGGCTGTGAGGAGCTGGAGGCCTGGGGAAGCAGGTCCTACTCTTGACTTTGCTGTACTGTCTGATCCCTGTATAGTGAGGAAGGAGCCCATGGCAGCAGACATGGCCTTGCAGCTGTGAGAGCAGGGGGAAGAGCTCACACTCCTTGTTCCCCTCCTTGGTGGTGAGCTAGCTGTATGGTATGTTATGTCTTTTGCAGAAATTAACTGCTCATATTGGCTCAGTTCTCTTGCTGCAAGCATTATCTTGGAGTGAATGACTTGAATCTTTTTTTAATTTGTTCTTTGTCTTTTCCCCCCTTATTCCCCCCCTCAATGAGTCTCCTTCCTGTGAAAGAGGATGCAGATGCCTTTGTTTATTTCAGCCACCAGCTATTTCTTTTTGGTCTGGTAACTTAGCTGTTTGGCCCCAGTTTGTGGGGTTTAAAGGACTGCCCAAATCTCGGTGCTCCCATACAAAGGTGATGCATACTGTGGCACAGCTAGGGCTGCTGTTTACAGTCTATGCCCTAATGGAAACCCCATAGCCTTGCTTAGAAACTTCTGAGGTGCTTTTCTTGAGGCTGGCAGTTACACTTAGTAGACAGCTGGGACCCTGAGGAAGTGATGGTGAGATGGTTACTCACTTATTTTTAATCAAAGACAGCTCTTAAGGTTTTCTTTTTGTTGTGTGGGTTTTTTTTTTTTTATTTGTTTGTTTTTTTTTTGGTTTGGGCTTGTTTTTTTTTTTTAACCCTGTTAAGCTGGCTTTCTGCTGAAAAAAAAAATAGAAAGCAACCTACTTGCTTCTTTAATGCATCATGGTGAACCTTTTGCAGTTATATAAAGCATTATAATTGATACTAGTAATTCCTGCTGGGTTTGGTTTGAATTCTGATCCATCTCCATTTATAAATTTATACTTGCGTGATGAAGGTACTGGTGCAGAGCTGTTGCTGCATGTGAGGGCTTAGACTTGGAAGGACAGTGCTCTCCCTCACTTTTGGTCTGCGTGTAAGTAAAAGATGTGAGTTGTGAGCAGTAGACTAACAGCGGAAGCTATCAAACAACATCATTCACAGCAGGAAGCTCCTGCTGAGGAGCAAAAAGTGGTTGCCAGCTCTTTTGAATGTGTATCCCTTCGTATATCCCTTGGCAGCTGGCTGGCAGCTCCCTTGAATGCATATCAGTTTGAATGCCTATCTTTTTTTCCCCAGGTTTCTGCTTATGTCCACTGGTGCAACAGCCACCCATGGTGGGGCATAGCAAAATGTGGCAGCAGCTGGCCCTGCTGGATAAGCAAGCAAGGGAGAATCATCAGTCGTGATACCTGAGGAGACTACTGAAAATGAGGGAAGGGTACTGCTCAGTAACCCCACTGACTGCAAGAAGACAAGTCAAAAGGAGGACTGGTCTGTTGTGATAATGGAGAACAGCAAGAGGACCTGGAAATGAAGATGGGGGAATTAATTTGTGAACTTCAGTCCATCTGCCTGGGTTGCAACATCACCAATCCAGGCTCTTGAAACACCAGGTCCCCTCTTCCAAATGGAAAGTTTTTGTAATTGAAGGACATGCATCTTTGAAACTTTGTCCTACATTCAAGTTAATTGAATCAAAAGCCAGTTCTGCCATTACCTGAGCAGTTAATAAAATCTATTGCCTTATGATGGATTTTGTTTTCTGCAGGCTAGAATGGATCTGTCTTTGTTGTGATTTGTGAGATTGAGGGGAAAACACAAAACATAATCTGTGTTACTGCTGTACTGAAAAAAATTCACTGTGCTCTCCTAGGGCTTGGAAGTAACTAAAACTGCAGTGATCCTTTCTCCCTTTATTTGATTTATTGAAAATAAAGCATACCTCATTAACATTTTAATAAAGAGAATCTCTCTGCAGCGGTGCTCAGAGTTGTTCTTATTTCTCTCTGTGCAATTCCATGCTCTGAAAGGGAAAATACTATTGAGATCTGTAAGGCATGATCTGTTAGACTGAAACTAAGCACACAAATATACCAAAGCAAAATGCTCTGTAAAGGTGCTGTGTTTGAGAGAGGTGCTTGCCCAATATGTGTGATGCAAAATGGGGTTGGTTTGTGAAGAAATCATCCTTGTAAAGCCATTGGTTCTGGTCATCAGACTCTATCCAATGCTTTAGTGATGATGCTGCTGATCTATTTGGGAAGTTGGCTGGCTCTCAAGGCAGAGTCTCTCCTCAAAGGCTGTTTCACAGTGAAAATATGCTCAGTGCTGCTGAGTGCATGAATGAATAAGCCTCTGGTACCTTCTAGTCTGGCAAAATGCAGCACAAAACTCAACTTGCTCTGCCCTTTCTCCTGTCCCAGGTAAGAAATATGTGTTTGTCCTTGCTTTCTTTTATCTTGCTGCTTTTGTGCATTTGGATTTTAAAGTATTTGTAATTCAGGTCTGATTTCTGAGTAATTATACGCTGCTTGAATTACTGTTTAAAGATGCAAGATCTCTGCTACAAGCCAGTTGCTAGGAATGTAGAATCTCATAGTTCCTTGATTCATAATTACAACAAATTTGCTCTGTGATATATAACATTTCTTTTTGTTTGCCTTCAGCAAAGGTGGTAGGGGAATCTTTAAAGTATCTCGGTTGCAGCTGCAGCAGCAATATTTTCTGTCATATCAAATGCTGCAACTTTGATTTGCTTCTTTCCTCTGTGGCTTTTGCTGGGTCGTAGGTTTATAGGCAGTTATAGGCAGCTCACATTATTTATTGCTTCTTTAAAAGAAAAAGAAAAGGGGTGAATATGGAGGAAAAATAAAACCAGACCTTGCAAAAGCTTTGCTTCCCCGTACTCTCCTGATAGATGTATAATACTCTGTTAGTGACTTGCTATGTAGCCTTTCTCTTATTAAATGTAATAGATCCCCCTCTGCCAGAAAGCAGGGGAAAAAACACCCAGCTTTAAAAACACAGAGTTGCTAAAGCCCTGCTGCTGCTGCTGCTGTCTGTCAAAGCAAAAGGACTTGCCGGGCTTTGACTTCTCAATACCTTCTGGTTGCTCTTTTCCTCTTGCTGCTGTTACAGGGCTCACTTTTTGGAAGCTGTGGAGAGGTCTGAAAATCCTTTGTTGGTGTCCAGCTTAAATGCATCTTTCTCCTTTTATGTTAGGAGCTCTATAAACTCCTACATCTAGCGACAGCGGCACTGGCATCCTGTGCACCGAGAGAAAAGTTAATTCCTTTTTGACTTGCGGTTGAGAGTGTTTGTTAACCCTTAGGGAATTGGTAGAGTGTCAAACTAATGCTTGAGACACGGAGTCTGTGCACTCCTGTTTGTGTAACTGCAATCTCCAGCAGGGTTTTAATCTGTTGTTTTTTTTTTTTTTTTTAAATAGGGTGATAAAGAGAGAAATGATGGGGGGGGGGGGGGTCACTGTTGGGAGAGCTTTATTGCGAAGAAGTAAGTAGGAAACAGTAGGGTGAACTGAACGTATATATGCTGTGGATTAAGCCTGGGATATTTGGGTCCTGGCTTCACCAGATAAGGAGTAGAAGCATGAATGTGGGTGGCTGAAGTTTATAGGACAACGGGAGACTCGGTGCCTGGGGATGTGTGTGAGCAAGCACATAGGCATTTGGGTGGGTGCTTCAGGGAGTGTAACAAATGAAAGCAACTGCTTTGAGCCATAGGTATGGTGCCTGAATGCACTGGTAAAGGATGAGTTTTGAGGAGCCAGAGCGGTGTGTGTTGGTGTTATACAGTTCCTTGCCTACCAGCTTGGGCTGGTAGCAGTTTCCTCTCCCTGCTAGCCCGTGCTGAGGCTCTGTGGGCTGGATATGAAGGCTGGGCAGCTCTCCCCCTCTGCTGAGCCTGTCTGGAGCCAGTGGGCAAGCTGCCCTTAATGTGGCTCCCTGAAGGGCTGAGGATCCCGGGAAGGCTCCTGGGGAGCAGGAGTTGTCAAAGTGGGCTGAGATCCAGGCTGGGCTGACAAAGCTGGCTCCTGGGGGCACTGCCTTGGAGAGCCAAGGAGGGGGTACTGACAGTGTAAGGGTAACCTGTAGATATACTGGGCTAGTGCTCCCTGAGCATGGGCTTGAGACCTGCCATATGGACTGTAGTTTGCTTGGCTTTCTCTGTGTTTCAGTCCCTTTTTTGTCCACGTTCCCTAGCACGCCTCTGAGTTAAGCAGCTTGAGTTTGGGTTTTCTTTTTCTGTCCCTTGTAGGAAAAGCACTAAGTATATGATAGATGAGGACAGATTTCTAAGGCTTATTTAACTACATAAATGGCATTTTTTTTTTTAACCTCGGCATCTACATGAGAAACTGGCAAGGTGCAGAACACCTGATTCCAAAAATAACTGTGCACGTTATTGATAACTCTCAGCAAAACTTCAGAGTTTCTTCTCACTGGGCTGAGCTGAGTTCTAGTATACTGCAGGGCTGAGCTCGTGGTGCCTTAGCATTGTTTGGTATTCAAGTGCTCAAACTGCACATCACCTTCTTTATTAGCATATGTAGCTTTAGCTGGCAATGTCTCTACCTGGTGATTTAACACATCTCCAAGTTTACTTTGTAGGTCATGTCTAAGAGCTAATGAATTAGGGGACAAATTAGACTATAATAAGGATGTGCACATAATTCTGTCTTCAGGTATAGGTGGTTGAGTATTGCCAGGTTAAGTAAGAAAAGAAAATGATTGCGCTAAAGAAAGGAAAAGGAATTACTGAAATGCTGTTTGGCTTTTCTCGTTGACACACCACACGAACAACTTTCATGTGACAGGAAAAGTAAACAGAAGAATGTGAGAAAATGCAGCCATCTGGCTGTGTAGTAGTTGTATCATATTTTGGGATTTTTTCCATAAGTTTTCTTTTCTCTCCCTCAGCGGTAGCAATAATGCCTCATACAATGCAATATGATGCTTAGTGGAACCAGTGAAGCTCAATTTTGATAAACTGATTTCTAAGCAATGGCTATCTAATAATGCAGTACTTCTAGTGGAAGTAGGAGACAGGAATAACTTCATATCAAAGTAATGATAGCAAAGTTTACAGCATAGAAATATTTGAGGAAATTATCATGTTTGTGGAACATGAACTGAAAAAAGGCTTATTTTCTTATTCAAGATAGCTTCTAAAATTATTAACTTTGTTATTTTGTTTTCTTGGTCTGCATATAATTCAGTTGCATTTCTTAAACTTTAAAGAAAATGCCATTTTAGGTGTTAAAATGATGAGGATGGGGAATCAGTTTTTCATCTCAACAAAGCAGCCCATTAAGTATGTTGTAAAAATTGTGATTAACAGGTGGGTGATGAAGGTTTTTTTTCCTTTGAAAAGGTTTACTTTATGCTATTACCAGCCGTTTGTCCCATTTTTTACCTAGAGGGAAACTAAACATTAGCCGGAGTAGCAGAGGAAGATGTTTTGTGTAATCCTTTAATTCAGGCTTACCTTTAAAACTACAAAGCATATCTGAAATATACAGCTTTATTGATCCCAAGATGACAATAAAAACTAAGTGTACTTTAGTAGCTTGTGAAGTTCACTATACAGAGTATTGTAAGCAGTAAATGCATATGGATTTTTAAGTCTATCAGGTCAGTGTTTTGTCTTTTACTCAAAGGATATTTTCTAAGGCATATACCCAAATATTTCTTTACAACAGAAGTCGTTCAGAGACTTGCTTTTGTATGTTATGGAGTCCATGCAGACAGAGGAATGAACATAATATTTGCAAGTAAAGTTTACAAGATGAGAAATATTTTTTTTTGATAGCTTCAACTGTCATGTTCCACTGGATTGCAACTAAGTCAACTGGAGAAATTTATTGATTTTTCAATCATTAAATCATTACAATTGCCGTTATAGTGAATAGCAAAACTTAGTCCTAAAACTCCCAAAACGCATAGAACCTCACGGCTGTGTTCTTAAGCTTTTATTTTTCCAGATTTCTCCAGAAGAGGGCTCCATGCACACCTTGAAAGTCAGCACCCACGTATTAAAAGCAAAAGAAATTCATCAGCTTCAAGAAAAAAGAGAAGTCTTGTTCATGCAAAGTCTGATATAACATTAAGGATTATGCTCAAATTCCGACCAAGCATTTCCCTGTTGTATTGTGCTGCTGTAGGTCTTATTTTGTGTAAGACTGTTCATTATCTGAGAGTTCTAAAGTCCTTATCTTTTGTGTTATATCTGAGTTGTAAATATGTCAGAGAAACTCAATTGCCAGTTATTACATATAATTGCTTGTACTGATGAGCATTTTGTGAGCAGTCTACACTCCTGATTTTTTCAGGCCATCGGTTTTGGTTATATAGTCAAAAAGAGCTGCTATTTGTCAGATAGTGCACTGGAGGGAAGACTGGCCCCTGGTGAACTATTTTAAAGGTATTCTTGTATAGGATCTGGCAACACTCCCTACTGCTAAGCATGGGAGATTTATTACAATAAATGTGGAAACTGGTTGTGAAAATGCTCCTAGAGCTACAGCATTACAATTAAACCCACTTTGCTGTGTACCACTTGAGACATTTCATTTTAGATGTATCTCAGGCAATATATTGGCAGCTGGTTTCTGTTTCTGATGATAAAAAATAGAAAAAGATTATTCTAGCACATGTAACAACTTTGTGCTGTGATCCATTGAGAGTTATTGACTTGACTTTTAGTGGCTTGTCAGCTAGGAAATGACCATTGTTAAAGAAATTTCTTCACCCAAGGTATCTCATAAGCAACGTCTAGAGCTAAAGTCCAGTCAGGTAATTTGAGCTCTACAGAGACAGAAAAAGCTTGAGCTGGGTGCCTCTGAGGAAGGTGGCACTCAGAACAAAGAAATCCCTGGACCTTTATACTTCGTACAGTCTATGCACCCGTTCTTCGTACTCTCTTTGTGTGCTTTGAACATGACTCTCAATCCAATGGTGATTTTTGGTCCAGAGTTGTCTTGCTTCTGATTGTATTCTTTGTTTCCAGACAGGTCGTTAGCTGATTTTAATTTTGACGGGTTGTATCTTCTGCTCATAGTCCTGGCTTCCTTGTCTTCCAGTTTGCACTGGCCTTGGAGCCTCCTTTCAAAATCAAACTGTTTGCCAAAGCAACAGTTCAACATAAGATTGGTCGTTCACAGCTTTTGGCAGAAGGTTCCAGAAACTTTAGTTACTCATGCTGAAAGAAGCTATTCAAACACACAGTTAAAATGATTCAGCTAACAATTTCCAACAGTATTTCTGAAAGGTATCACAATAGACCAGTGCAACAGGAACTATTAGAACTATGTTGATGGCAACAGTGGTGCCTGTTCAAGAAGAACATGAAGTTCTGCCTTTCATTTTCTTCCTGTTCTATTTTGTCAGATAAATAGGCTCTT